TTTCCTATGGAATTAAATTTTGTAATGGCAGACTACTTTAAGTGTTTGAAGCACTGACCACCATACACTCTAATACTAACATTAGTTAGCAAGTGTAAAAATACATTGGGGGAACTCTGTGCTAGGGTGTTTTAAAGCTTCTCTTTTTGAGCAGCAAAAGCAACAGAATACACTTTCCTTTAAATATATATATGTGTGTGTGTGTGTGTGTGTGTGTGTGTGTGTGTATACATATACACTAGAGGACCAGTGCACGAAATTCATGCACTGGGGGGTTGGGGGTGGGGGTGAGGAAAGGGTCCCCCAGCCCAGCCTGCACCCTCTTGCAGTCCAGGAGCCCTCAGGGGATGTCCGACTGACAGCTTAGGCCTGATCCTCATGGGGACCAAGCCCAAGCCAGCAGTCGGACATCCTTAATGCGACTGTAGAGGTGGGAGAGGCTCCCACTATGGATGCTGTGCTCGCCAGCCGTGAGCCTGGCTTCTGGCTGAGCGGTACTCCTCCTGTGGGAGCACACTGACCACCAGGGGGCAGCTCCTGCACTGAGCATCTGCCCCTTGGTGGACAGTGCACATCATAGCAACCAGTTGGCCCATCATTAGGTCAATTTGCATATTAGCTTTTTATTATAAAGGACATTTTTTTTTAAATATATTTTATTGATTTTTCACAGAGAGGAAGGGAGAGAGACAGAGAGCTAGAAACGTCGATGAGAGAGAAACATTGACTAGCTGCCTCTTGTACAACCCCTACTGGGGATGTGCCCGCAACCAATGTACATGCCCTTGACTGGAATCAAACCTGGGACCCTTCAGTCCGCAGACCGATGCTCTACCACTGAGCCAAACCGGTTTTGGCAGGACATTTTTTTTTTTAATTGATTTCAAGAGGAAGGGTAAGGGATAGTAAATCAATGATGAGAAAGAATCAATGACCTGGCCTCCTCCTGCACACCTCCCACTGGGGATGGAGCCGACAACTTAGGCATGTGCCCTGACCAGGAAACAAATGGTGACCTCCTGGTTCATAGGTCAACATTCAATCACTGAACCACACTGGCCAGCCAATACACTTACTTTTTATCAATATAGTTAAGCACTGCTCTTTCTACATTTCTACCCTAATGTTCAAGTCTCAACTAAACTAAGAGGAATTCTCCATCTGGCAAACTCAATCACATTATAAATAAAGACTGCTTTCTGGCCATAAGGCTCTTCTACCAGCTACAGTAATTTCCAGTAGATCAAGCCAATTTTCCCTGTATTATAAAACTTCGGAGAATGACAACTACTAACAGAGAACACTCTGTTAGTATTTATTAGTAGACCAAGTAATAGTCACTCTTCTAACAATGACGCTTATTTAACATACCCTAGTACCAAAGGAAACTAAAAGAACCTAAAAATGAAGGTACAACATAGCAATTTAATTCATATTTAAAATTTTTATTATGAAGAACAATTGGTATAATCTTCTTATCATCTAGGCCTTTAAAAAACACATGCAATGAAGTCATTTTTCACCATAGCTGGTTTGATTCAGTGGTTAGAGCAATGACCCACAGACTGAAGGGTCTCAGGTTCGACGATCCTTGGGTCCCAACCCCAAATGGGGCGCATGCGGGAAGCAACCAGCTGATGTGTCTCTTTCACATCAATGTTTCTCTGTCTCTCCCTCTCCCTTCCATGCTCTAAAAAAAAGAAAAAGAAAAAGAAATGAAAGAATAAATAAATAAATGGGGGGGGGTGTATTCTCAGGTGAGGATTAACAATAGAAAATCATTTTAAAAAACACACACCTATATATGCATTCATCTTCCCGTAACATGAGAAATGAGTCTCGTTTATACGTGCATTTACCTGAATTCATCTATATACACTGGAAGAAAAAAAAGGGATCTTTAATTATTGGTTCCCTAACTCATTAGTCCACAGAGCCAAATATCAAAAGCACAACGATTAAAATTTCTTTTGAGAGCCACATTTTTTAAACTTAAACTTCTTCCAACGCCACTTCTTCAACATAGACTCGCCCAGGCCGTGGTATTTTGTGGAAGAGCCACACTCAAGGAGCCAAAGAGCCGCATTTGGCTCGCGAGCCGCGGTTTGCCGACCACAGCCTTAGCTGATCCTCATGAGTGCCTCTCAGTATACAAACACTTCCCTCACTGTGTATGATCCTAATATTAGTTGTATCTGTTACACATTGTGACTCCTAAATGTAAACCAACTACTTCATCTGGGGCTCACGGGAAAAATAGCATCTGTCCCAAAGCTGGAGAAAGCCGGGCCATGCTGGAACTTTGCTGCGCTGGTATCCCTACATCCATCATCATGCTCCCCTAAAAGGTTTCCGGGTATCCCTACATCGATCATCATGCTCCCCTAAAAGGTTTCCGGGTAGCTTTGATCATTTTGCATCTGGGCTGGCTTTGGAACCTAACCCACACTAAATCATACCTCCCCTCCCCCAGGCTTTATATAACTCCTCTCAAGATCAAATTTTAAAAAAAGAAGTAAAGCTTTGCATTACACAACCACACATGAGGTCCACTAACTCATTCGGTTGTATTTTTGAAGTAAATCTTTACAGGGGACCTACTCTGTGGAAAGCACAGTGCTAAGCACTAACCTGGCACTCTATTATTTAATAAGTGAGACGCTCCATTATTAAATAAGAGGAAGAGATGAGGTTGGCACATGAGCAATTTAGAAAAGCAGAATAAGAGTAAATGCCGTAAGAAAATAGAAGCTTAGAAGTTCAGAAAAGGCAGACTAGAAAAGTATGAGGGAAGCTTAATTTTGATAGTAGCTGTGACAGTGCAGTGAAAAGTGTGGAAATTTGAGACATACAAAGAAAAATAATCTGTAACTCGAGATTGCCTGAGATCACAAATTTCACATTCCAAAATCAAAACGAAAGGGTGCTTTTATTTCCAGAAATGGCTGAGTGAGGTAATTGAGGCCAATCCTGTACTTCTATGATAAAAAATAAATTAAATAGCCCTAGCAGGTTTGGCTCAGTGGATAGAGCCTGTGGACTGAAGAGTCCTGGGTTCGATTCCAGGCAAGGACACATGCCCGGGTTGCAAGCTCCCATCCCCAGTATGGGGCATGCAGGAGGCAGCCAATCAATGATTCTCTCTCATCATTGATGTTTCTATCTTTCCCTCTCCTTTCCTCTCTAAAATCAATAAAAATGTTTTTTAAAATTAAATTAAATAACAGGAAGAAATTTCTAAAATAATTCTTAAACAGAAAAGCTAACAAGATAGTAAAGAATTTGCCCAAACCCTACATGGTTTGGCTCAGTGGATAGAGCATGGGCCTGTGGACTGAAAGGTCCCAGGTTCAATTCTGGTCAAGGGCATGTGCCTTGGGTTGCAGGCTTGGTCCCCAGTAGGGGGCATGCAGGAAGCAGCCGATCAAGGATTCTCTCTCATCATTGATGTTTCTCTCTCCCTCTCTCTTCCTCTCTGAAGTCAATAAAAATATATTAATAAAAAATAAAAAATAAAGATTTTGTCCCAAGTCCAAAACCAGAAATAAAGCCATTATCCAAACTTTTCATCCTAAGGTAAGGGTGTCGAACTCAATCAGAGAAGGGGCCAAAATCTAAAATCCAGCCTAAATCGCGGGCCGAATGGTTTACTGAACAGTCATAAACTGTCATTGTGATGGAAACGCAGCGGAGTGCAGTGATGACAGCGCGGTTCGGGCCACATTGCAAGGCCTGGCGGGACAGATTTGGCCCTCGGGCCTTGTGTTTGACACATGTGTCCTAAGGGTTTCTCTGACCTTAATGCTGTTGTTTTGGTGACTTTGTGAAGCAAAAGAAACTAAAGCCAAAATAGGACGTGAAGTCTGATAACCATTTGTTTATTTCTCCATGTGAATTTGGTATTCCAAAGAACACCTTCAAGGTAAAAGTGAACTAGAAAGAAAAAGAGCATAAATAATGAGCATCAGAAACAGACTCAAAGGGAATTCAGACAGTAGATTTAAAACATTCAGATTATAAAACAACTACGTTTATCATGTGTAAAGAAACAAAAACTAAGCCTCAAAATTAATAGCAGGGAATAAGAAGCTGTAAAACGTGATAGAACACGTTTGAAAAGAACAAATAGAATTTCATGGAAAAAAACACACAGTAACTGCATTTAAGATTTCAATGGATGAGTTTAATAACACATTAGAAATAGGTTAGAGAATTAACGAAGAAGAAATTATCTAGAATGTAGTATAAAAAAATAAAAAGAAAGTGAGAAGAGAACAGAGTAAAAAGGCCTATGTTAAATCAGTAAAGATTAAAAACAATGGACAGAAGCAATATATGGATATAAAATGGCCAAGAATTTGACAGAACTACTTAGACACTACACCACAAATCCAAGAAGTCTAACACACACCAAACAAATGCAGAAAAACCAAAGATAAAGGCTGAACCATCTTTAAAACACTCCACAGTGAAAAGTGAATCAGATCCCACAAAGGTAACCCATAGTGAGCGCGCTGAAATCGCTCAGTTTAGCTGCCACACAGGTGTAATTCCACTATGGCTGAACCATGCACTTGAATTACTTTGTTTACCAGATATGTGGTTTTCAATTTCTGAAGTGGCATCTTGACTCTAACCAAACATCAAGATTCTTAGGTGGTGAAAGGAAAGACTGCTAACCAGGTAGAAGGTCTTGAGGTCATTCTTTCTCTCTAAAAACCACACACACACACACACACACACACACACACACAAAATTGCCCGCTGGGGTAAAAGGCACCAAGCCCTCAGGTGAGAAAGATAACTGGCCAGCCTCTGCTCTCAGACCCTTACAAATTGTTAACAGCTTAGCTCAAACTGTTCTTTAAAGGCTATATAAGCCGCTTTTATCTCAACTCAACTTTGTATCAAAAAGGAAGCAGTGTCCTCCAAACCATTTTATGGGGGTCCCTCTTAACACAGCCATAAACCAAACAGCTGGAGAAATCAACAAGTCTCACCTCCCCGCTGGTAGCCAAGCAGTCACTGGGAAATCTGACCACCAGGCCGGCACCTGGTTTTCTGCGTCCCACTCCAGACCTATTCAGGCCGACTATCCGGGGATGGGGTCCGGGAATCTGCATTTTCAAAGGGCCGCAGAAGAGCTGGTTTTCTACTAGTTTAAGGACCGCTGCCAACATCCTCCTCTAACCCCGCGCGGACGTGGGGATCCACGTGGGCCACCAACTCTCAAAACAACGTGCTTCCACTCTCGGTCTTAGTGGCTTAAGTTTTCTGCAAAAACGAGCACGCTGCAACGACTGGTGCATGGCCTGTGATAAAATGTGCTTCCCGTCCTACACTCACATGTTGTGGAAAATCCATTTCCAACCAGGCATCCCCCACATCTCCCGAGGAGCCGGGAGCCGTTCCAAGCAAGACCTTAGGAACAGAGCCCGCTCCTCGCCGGGTGCAGGGGAGCCAGCAAGCAGCCCGAAGTCCCCATTCCGCTGGAAACCGTCAGGGATCCTCATGGACTGGACCCGGAGGCCACCCCGCGGGCTCCCTCGGCCCCCCTTCAGGTTCCCCTCAGGCTGGGGGCTGCAAATCTCTGACCAAGAACACTGGGCGAGCGCACAGACTGAGGACAGGCCTGGCCCCTAAACCTCAACTCCGACACGGCCCCCCACGTCCTCGGCGAAGAAGCCGGAGCCCAGGTCTCGCAGCCTGGCCCGGGCCCAAGGCCGCACTCACCTACCAACGCGCGGGAGGCGGGACACCCTCTCCTCGGCAGCGCTCACCCCGAACCGCCGCCGCCAACGCCGCTTACTCTTTAGGGGTTAAAAATAAATAAATAAAAATAAAAAATAAAAAAACAGAATAGGAAAATAGCCTTCGCTTTTTTGTATTCCCTTTGACCCTTCAGGGCTTCCTGTTCCTCGCCGCCACAACAAAAGTCCACCCGCTTCCGGCGGCGAAACCCAATCCGCGACTCGCTTCCTCCCCAGGAGCCCGCGGGAGATCCGGTGCCCGGAGAGCGGGCGGGAGACACCGGATTGGCCCATTCACACCTCAGCCAGCGGATTGGCCAGCTCGCGCCCGGGGGGCGGGCCGGGACGTGAGGTCACGTGACGCCTCCCCGGAAAGATGATTGGTTGCCAAGGGAGAGGGCTTGCCACCGAGGAAGGGGCGTTTCCTAGGGGACTGAAGGAGGGCCTGGGGCGGTGCGAAGCGGGGGTGGGCCCCGGCACGTAATGGCAGCGCCGTGGCCTCGCGTCCATCTTTACCGCTCTCCCGGACCTGTCACAAAGGAGTCGCGCCGCCGCTGCCTCCCCCTCTCTCGATCGGACCTGGGAGCTGGAGCAGGTCAGCGCCGCAGCCCAGCCGCTGTGCCCCGGGAAGCCCCTGGGGCCGCGGAGCTGGGGGGGAAGTCCGAGGGCTGGGGACGTCGGGGAGGAAGGGGACCGTCCCCGAGTCTGCGGCGGGGAGACCGGACTGGGGTCGTGGGGGAGGCTCGGGCAAGGGGCCCCGGAAGGGTGGCGTTTGGCAGAGCCCGGAAAACAGCCCGGAGATCCTCCACGGAGGCCCGCGCGGAAGGCGCCTGAAGAGGTTCCTGGAAGAGGGTGTTCCCCCTTCAGGGGGATGTTGGCCGGAGGAGGGGCTCGGGGGTCGCCCTTTTGAGAAGGCCGCGGTGAAAGGGGCCCAGGTGAGAGGCAGGGAGCTCCCGGGAGGCTCCTGATATGTAGCAGTGCTCTCGGGGGGTGTCCAGGGCGGACGGGGGGCAGATGGGAGGACGCTTTGGGGGGGTTTCCTTTTGTGGAGTTTGGGGTTTAGGTGGCACGGGTGGGAAGCAGGCAGCCCCCCCCCCCCCCCGGGAGACATCAGAATGCCGCGGGGTGGAGAGATGGATGCCTCAGAGAGGGGGGGGGGGGGTGGGCTAGGCGTCTGGAGCCCGAGCTAGCCGATTCCCGGAGGCCCGGCGTGGAAAGTGGGGAAGGGCCTCGGGGAGAGGAGATCGCTGGGCGGGTCTGGGAAGAAGAGACCCCGATCCGTCGGAAAGCCTCGGGGAGGAACCGTGACAAGGTCGCAGGAATGGCCAGACTGTCCCCTCGGAGACTTGACCCTGGGATCTGAAACACAGGATTCAGCTGCTTCTGGGCTGAGTGCAGGTGAGGCGGGGGAAGTCCATTCCCACCAACGCTCCCTGCGTGGGTCTAGATCAGGCTTTTGCCCCCTCCCGGCTGCCTCAGTTTCCCTATCTTTTGGGGAGAGACCTCAAGGCAAGAGATGGTCCACTGAGCCTGCAGTTCTGTCCTTTCGGGAGGCTGATCTCCTCGGAGGGGTGCACTTTGAACTTTGAAGGGCCGAGAGTGTCTTCTGTTGACTGAGTCGAGTCTGGCAGTTGCCCCAGCACCTCACCCACCATCTACCTGTCCTCAGACAGGTGACTCAGCCAGCCTAGGTCTCCCCTGTAAAATCACGCCGTGTGGGAAGTACAGGCCACAGGCAGTGTGGAAGGAAAGTACTGTGATTGTGCCACCCAAGGGCTTGCTGTTGAGGAATGAAAGCGAAGGCACTTGCTAAACCAAAACTGGGAAGATGTCAGGGGTTCACCTCCGTTCCGTAATTGTCGATCACGTTTGGAGCCATCCGAGACCGAAAGCTTCAAGGTTCAAGGCTGTGTAGGTCATACTATACCCTAAACCCAAGGTTTCAACCCCCTGCTGAGATGGAGGTGGAGGGATTCCCAAGTCTTTGCTCAGACTTTTAATTTACTTTGAAATCCTGGCAGGAGGCAGCACTACCACATAATCTTTTCCTTCACGAAGTTTTTTCCCTGACAGCTGACATTTTCTTCCATGTAATTTCATCTCAATGATGTAAACTACCTCCCCTTTTTCATATGTGTGTGTGTGTGTATCCCTCATGGCCTTTGGATGTCTACAGATAGGAAATCTTTCTGCCTTCCTCAGTTGTGATTTTGTAAGTGTGACTTCCTTTTCCTCCATGGAGATGATGCCTTCCTATAATAGTTTCAAACTAAAGATGAGCAATTGCTTTTAAATTCCTCTTCCTCAGTGGTGTATTTTCCACCATTGTGGAGTTGGCATTTACTGGGATGACGTCCTGCTGGGTAGCTCCTCTGTGAGGTGATAAGATACTGGTGTCCAGGTATGACATTTTCCTGATGTTGAGTGAGTGGTGTTTGTTAGAGCTGGTTTTCCAAATAGTCACTAATTTGTGATTTTTGAAGCTTGTTGTTTTTAAACAAAAAGCTAACCCGTAGTTCCTGTTTTTCTAGTCTTCTATTTCATGGGTCTTTTAAAAAAGAGTCACTGTGGTGATTTTGTGAGGTTTCTCGTTTTCCAGCATACATGCTGTCCTGACCTACTGCCTGATGTCTGTCTGTGACCTGCTTTTGGCCGTTTTCACACACCCTTCATTATTTTTGGACTCCGTGAATATTTTCTAGTTATTGATTAGAGGAAGGGTCCCGGCACACTCTATGTGAACTTTTCCTGCTTTGTCAGCAAAATAACTTTTCGCTTACTAACTTGGCTGAGAATCAAGAGGAAATAAAAACTTCACATTTTGTGGAATAGTCTGCTACTCTGTAGTGATTAGGGAAGAACAGCAACTCTGAGGCATATTTTGGTGAGAGAACAACAACAAAAATCATTGTGTGTCTCTGAAGTGTGTTTACGACAGCTTATTTCAACTCCTAAGCTTAATTCCGTCTGTCAAGAATTGCCTCTACCTTCCCTGATAATAATTTTATAATGAAATGATACGTCACTTTGCATCCTTTAAGATACAACTCTCTTGGGTGCTCTAATAGCTAGCTGGTTTGAGAAGTTATTAGGAATTCTTGAGGATGGTTATCACTATTACACTGCTTGACACTGGAGATTTTCTGCTTTGTGGTGGGATCTTTATAAAGTAGAAGGTAGCCGAAACCGGTTTGGCTCAGTGGTAGAACATTGGTCTGCGGACTGAAAGGTCCCAGGTTCGATTCCAGTCAAGGGCATGTACATTGGTTGCGGGCACATCCCCGGTGGGGGGTGTGCAGGAGGCAGCTGGTCGATGTTTCTCTTTCTAGCTCTCTAGCTCTCTCCCTTCCTCCTCTCTGTAAAATATCAATAAAATTATTTTTTTTAAAAGAAAAAAGAAAAAAAAGAAGGTGATAGCCACAGGGCTGCACCACAGATGGCAACCACAGTAGAACCAGTAATCTATTTCAAAGGAGTTATTTGGGGGAAGTAAACTATCAATTTAGCTTCTCTCAAATATTTGATATTTTCAAGGCATTTACCATTGAAATTGCGTAGTCCACGCCTCAAACCCCCCCCCCCCCCCATTCAAATTAGAAAATTGAAAAACAGAATAGTCAGGAAGTAGTGAATGCCAAAACTTGGGCCACGGAGCTTGTAGGAGACGTACAAGTTTTAGGAGTATAAAAGAAGTGTATTTTCCCTTTGGTTTATCTCTCCAGTAAGTCAGCTTTGGAAATAGTTATCATGCCGATCTTTATGATTAGGGAAAAAGCACTTAATTGTTATACTTTTCGCTCAGGGCCCATTCCAAGAGGAAATGCTCGCTTGCTGGTTACATATGTAAGAGCATATTGAACTGTGGCTAACTGTGATACACACAGGGCTAGATGAGGTCAAGTTAATCTTATACACACTTTCTCCCTTTCTGAGCTTCTGAAAACTAAGAATGCATTTAAGATAGCAAAGAACTGATGCACTCCCTAAGTCTGTTAAGGAATGAACCCTGCTCACAGCCTTCTTATTGCTTGAAATTATGGGTCCTAAGCACATCAAATAGAAGGCTTGAAATGCCTTACATGGCCCATTTATTATTACCTCATAGTTCAGTGTTGCAGAGTTAGCTTATTCCCACCCCTTCTACCTTCTGGAGAATCACTTTTTCTCTCCGGTGATTCCTTGGTTCCCGAAGTCTGACTCCTACCCTGCCCCACCCACCTAGTGGGAAGAGCTGCTCCGTTTTTCCGATTCTTGTTGCTTCATAGTTATTCATACTTACCGTGCCTAAGGGCTACTTATTCATAACCTACCCGGTGAATCAGTAAGGGTTGCTGAAACACGCTATTCATAAACCAAAACCAGCACACCGCAGCTTACTGCTGGCTGACACCTTTTTCTCCCAGGAAGCCCGGCCTGGGAACCTTGGCGCCAAGGGGAAGCTGCTTGCGTGTCCTGTGCGGAGCGGGATTCCTTCAGTCATCGGAACGGTGCTTATCTTCCATGGTGCTTCCTCTTGGGGTTCTTGTCGGTCTTGTTTTTCATCAGAACTATGAGCTTCGTTATCAATGTAATTTATGGGCATTTTATTTCCCTCTCACTGTGGTCAGGATATTTGTGCCAACCATTTTGGGCTTACTATCCAAGACATGAACGTGTGGCAGTGCCTCCATACCCCTTTTGCTAATGCTGATACGTAGTCACCTAAAAACTTGCTTGGGCAGGAATACTTGATGTTACTAAGTTCCTTTTCCACCGGGAAAAAGGATGAATGAGAGGCCTGCCCCTGCTGAACCTGATGATGCTTACCCGGATGCTTCTTGGGCGTGTATACGTTATGGGCCGGGCACTCCGGTGTTGTCTATTGCTGTCCGTCTCTTTGCGAAGAGCTTGAGGGACCTTTTTTTTCCATCTCTGCTCAGTGCCTGGCATGTAAAAGCCTTATAATCATATTGATTGAATGTGTTTTGTTTTTTAAAGTGATAAGTATTTTGGAAACATTCTCTACTTTTACAAATTATAGAATAAATTCACTTAATGTTGCTATTGAATACCTTTTAGCTTCTGGGAGTCCAACTGAGTGCTTTCAGACACCATTTTAAGTAGATTTCATTAAGGAAAGTGCTGCTACCCATGTTTTTTTACACTTCGTTTGCTTCTTTTAATAGTAAAGAGTTTTCTATGCTAGAAGAACCCTCACCTTCAGCTTGTGGATCCCCTGTTTAAATAACCCCTCTGTATGA